TGTGTCTTTTCTGTGTGTCGTCTTTGTTTTCCCTTCCGTGTCCTCGCCTTTTTCCGAATCGCAGAGCCTTTGTCTCATGCGATTATTTGAAGAGGTTTATTGATGACGCGGCCGAACAGCTGATCGATGACGCGGCCGAACAGCTGATCGATGACGAGTGGTTCCGTCGCGGAGTGGCCATTCAAGCTCGTAATAATGATAGTAATTGTAGTACGTGCAGCTGCCATTGTTAACTCGTGATGGATTGTGTGTGTGTTTTTTTGAGTTTTGAGACAAAGGAGAAAGGGAGAAAGAAGAAAAACGTAAAAGAAAAGGAGGGGGGGGGGAAGGAAGGAATGATGTGGGTTCGTCGAGGAATGTCGTAAAATACGGGGAGGTAATTCGCATTAGGCAACTGAGGCGAAGCGATCGAGAGGGGGTTTTCAGTCTCGTTTTTTTTTTTTTTCTTCTTTCTTTTTATCACTTTATGGCGACGAGAAACAAAAGTGATTGACGGTGACTGAATGTATAATTTTTTTCGAGCCTTTTCTTTTCTTTCATCCCTCAATATTTCGTTCCAGCCGCGAGAAAATTGGGAGTGTGACGATTCAATTCCTGGGCCGCCATTGTGACGCTTGCGAGTGTAGGTTAGCGGGGGAGGAGGAAAAAGGGAGGGGGGGGGGTGTAGTGTCTTTTTCTATTATTCACTGTAACCTTTTCGTTAGATCGGGTGTCGTGAAGGTTGTGTATAGGATGTGGTGGAAAGAGAGAGGAAGGGAGAGATGTGATTCCCGTTTTTTTTATTTTTTGATGATTGCGTGATAATGATAGAAATAATAATGATAACAGTAATTGCAATAGCAATGATTGTCTCTTATTGACAAATATAGGGATTTAAAAGAAATCTCGTGCTGCATATGCGAGTGGGGGGTGGGGGTAGGGTGGGGGTGGGGGTAGAGTAGACCGCCATTTGTGTGTTCGTTTTTTCACTTTCTCATTTGGTTAAAAAATCTTTGTGATTAAAGCAACACGCATCGGCCATTTAAAAGTCTTGAAATGCAGTTTGGGAGTTTTTTAATTTCTGTATTTCTTGCTATTCATTTTCGTCTTGTTTGTCAAGCACTGTCCGTGGTGACGCTGGAGGGGGGGAGGGAGGGGAGAGGAGGGGGAGATAATTATACGGCGCACGCTATCTGATGATAATATTTTTTTTTCATTCTCATTAATTCCGATTCGTTAATTGTGTGTCGTCTGTTTTTGTTTATACATTTCGTTTTTTTTTTTCTTTATTAGTTTATAGGGTTTATGAAAATTTTAGGCTGGTAAGGGGGAAGGGGGAGGGGGGGGGTCGTATGGTCGCCTCATCGCGCCTAAAATAAATGTTTATGAGAACGGACTCTTTTTTTCTCTCTCTCTGGCGGTGTTTTATTATGACTTTTGCTATTTTTAGCGTGGTGGTTGATTTTGTGTTGATTGTTATTATTGCTATTAGTTATAGGTTGCTATCATTGTTATCTTCATTTTCGTTTTCGTTTTCATCATCATCATCATCTCATCATCATCATCATCATCATCATTATCATTATCATTATCATCATCACATCATTATTATTTGTTATTGTTAATGTTTTCTTAATTATTTACTTTTGTTATTATTATATTCTTTTCATTCTTATTTTCATTTCTATATCGTTTGTCAATCAGGTTGTTGCCAAGGCAGCCTTCCGAACGCGTGCAAAATAAGTTTCGAAAATTTGGCGGGAAATTTGATTTAACGCGTGCATGTCCATCTAACGACCGAAATAGAATATATCAAAAAGAAAAAGAAAGAAAGAAGAGAAAACGGTCGAAGAGAGAAGAAAAACAGACAAAAAGGCAAAGAAAGAAGAGGAGGAAAGAAAGAAAAAGAAAAAAAAAAAAGAAAAAGAACCAGACATTCAGACGGGAATCGGGTAATTTTTTTTTATCCATTATTTTTGACATTATTATTATCATTTGATCTCGGAAATTATGGGCATTATATCCCCCCCTCCTTCCCCCATCCCCCACCTCCTACCCCCTCCCCCCTTCCCTTCCGACAGAACCCGCACGCAGATGTTTCCAGAATGTCATGGAAAGATTGACGAATTATTATTTAGTTATTTTTTTTTCATATTTACTTTTTGATTTGCTTTATTACTCTAAATGTATTTATGGGATTGTTCGTCAGACTGCTATTTTTGTGTAATTTGGAACGTACCAGAATTAAAGCAAGATGATTTTTTTTTTTTTTTTTTAATGGCTAGTCGAAGGTCCACGTGCACGAGAGTAGATATTTGCGAATAATGATAATGATATGATTGGGGGATAATTTAAAAATGAAAAAAAGGGTAAAACTCTTCCCCTAAATAGATTATTTGATTTTGGGGGGGGGGGGGGGGGGGTGAATTCGCTTTATATATTATTTTATATATGATTTTTTTTCAACGTATCCCACCTTTTTTTTTTTTTTTACCCAGTCCCCCACTTCCTCTTTTCTTCCTAACCCCCCCTCCCTCTCTTCCCTCCTACCCTCCCTCCTCCCTTCCCTCCCTCCCTTTCTATCCTCCTCCTTCCCTTCCTCCCCCTCCCTTCCTTCCCTCCTACCCCTACTCCCTCCCTCCCTCCTACCCCTCACCCCCACCCCTCTTCCCATCCATCCCCTTCACATCTTTGAAAGGTCACGGAAATTTGACCTGATTATAATCTCTTTTGGTGAGGTTGGCTTCGTGACTTTATTATTATATATATGTATATATATATATATTATATATATATAATATATATAATAATTATATATATATTATTATACTTTTTATTTACTTATTTCTATATTTTTGTTACTTATTTTATATTTTTTATTACTTTTTTTTTACTTTTTATACTTATGTTTTATACTTTTTATTTCTTGTTTGTATACTTCTTATTACTTTTTTTTATTTTTATCTTTTTATTTCTTTTTTATTACTTTTTTATTTTTATTTTATTTTTTATTTACTTATTTTTTTTTTTACTTTTTATTTTTTTACTTTTTTTTTTTTTTTTTTTTTTTTTAACTCTTTGAAGTATCTTTAATGTTGATTTATGTTGGCGGTTTAGGGAATATGTGAAGGGAAAGGGTTATAAGGTGGCAGGAAGAAACGTAAGGAAGTAAAGGGGGAATAAGGAAAAAGGAAAGAAGAGGAGGAAGAAGACTGGAGGAGGAGAAAGGGGGAGGGGGTGTGAAGCGAAAGAAAAAGAAATGGAAGAGTAAGAAGAACGAATGGTGATGATTGTGGGAGGAAGATAAGGAAAAAAATGATAGGTTTGTGTATGTTTGTGTGTGTGTGTGTGTGTGTGTGTGTGTGTGTGTGTGTGTGTGTGTGTGTGTGTGTGTGTGTGTGTGTGTGTGTGTGTGTGTGTGTGTGTGTGTGTGTTGTGTGTGTGTGTGTTGTGTGTGTATGCAAAATGTGATAATAGTAGTAATGATAATGATAATAATAATAATAATAACAATAAACATATAATAACAATAACAATAGTAATATAATAATGATAATAGTAATAGTGCAACAACAATAACAACAAAAGCAACAAAATGATAATAATGATAATTATACTAAAATAATAATGATAAAAGTAATGATAACAGAAATGATAATAGTAATGATATATAATAATGATAATAATTACAGTTGTTATAGAAATAAGAATGAAACGTACAATATTAAGAATATGAAGATGATTTCTCAAAGATACTCATAGAGAAAAGATCCAAAAGCTAAAAAAAATAATTTAAGGAAAAGAAGAAACATTTAGAGAACAAAGACCCATTCAAGAATCGATATCACTCGGGGTCAAACGCAGAAAAAATAACATCTCTGGGAATAAGAGAAAGAAAGAAAGAAAAAAATGTTATAAGATTTTTTTTTTCAAATTTGTGGTAACAGCACACAAGGTACTCATTCAAGCAGCATATCGTAAAAGATTTAGAAACAAAATACAATCACATCGGAGAGAGAGATTCATATTTCCCGCGGTGACGTGATTCCTCGTTTCCGAGACTCGTTTTACGATCTGTGGTTTTCGAGATCCGGCAATAATTTTATACATTTTCCGCAATATGAATAACCCACTGCATGCGTTTCCATTTCCTCTCTGCAGTTGCGAGTAATGTGAAATACAACCTGTAATTCAGGCTTGGGCATAGAGAGAGAGAGATATTTTCCCGCGAAATTTTGTGTCACGCGAAGGTGTAACGGTTTCTGCGTTTGAATCTTGTTAGACAGAAAACGTGGTCGGAAAAGAAGAAAAAGAAAGAAAGAAAGAAAGAAGTGGGAAAGAAAGAAAGAAGAAAATAAAAGAAAGGAAAGGAAAGGAAGTGAAATGAAATGAGAAGAAAAAAATTGGTGTTTTAATTATTCACGTTCAGGAACAACCCCGATCACCTGCAAAAGGTCCCAAGTTGATTTTCTTTTTCAGTCTAATAGATTTTACCGGACGGACCATTATCATTTTTTTAGATTATGATTATTTTGGGTTTATTTGTCCAAATAATTCTAATGGCTGACGTAATTTTATGGATTAGATTGTATATATATTTTTATGGGATGTTGATAAAACAAATGAGTCTTATTATAGTTATTATCATGTCTTTCTGTGTATTAGTATTGTTCTTGTCGTATTGATAATATCAGTATTGTAGCACTGATAAAGGAAATTTAAGTCGATGGGTTTTATTGTTGTATGGGCGTGAGAGATGATAAAAATAAATTGGAATGAATTACTGCTCATGTATTTTTTTATTTTTTTTTTTTTTTTTTTTTTTTTTTACTTGGACAGGTGGTATGTCTTGCATGTTCGTGTTAGGACATGCATCTTTTATCTATGCAATTTTGGTTTCTTTATCAAGTACCATTTCTTTGCGGTATTTTACGATCTGTTGGAAAATCTTCCAAACGGTTTTATGGCTTGTTTCGTGCGTTATGGTCTTTTACATCGATGGGAGTTGAAAGGATCTGAAAATGGAGAATGATGATGTCATGTTGCGGGTGGAGCCTTTTTCTGTGCATTTTTGGTATGAATGTTTGATGAAATTGATTTTGTTCGGCGGCGGGAGCGTGTGCTAGCTTGGATCGCTCCTGGTTTTGCTATCCGTTAGTGGGAGGAGTTGGTGTAGTTATGCTACTGTGTGTATCTTTCGTTTTGTGTGTGCGTTTGGGAATTCGTTGGTAAAATGTAGGGTATAAGTGAACCGTATTTATGTTGACGAATGTGTAAAAGGGACGAATGAGAGTGATTTTCACAATGCAAGAGATGCATTTAACCGGTTTCGAATATATCTTCGTCAGAAATACATTTCTGACGAAGTTATGTTCGAAATCCATCAAATAATCTCTTGTGTTGAAGATATTCATTCTCATTCATACCATTTATACGTCAGGTACAAGTTGAAAGTTTGTAATTTATATCCTAGGCAGAACAGTTAATAACGATTCATCCCATTTTCTCACATTTATTTTGTAGCAGACATATTGCAGCCCAGACTAAAAGACAAAAAAAAAAAAGAAGGAAAAAACAAAAAACGCCGATAAACGCGATAATAACTTAATTGATGGTAATAGCCATTTTCCCAGCGCAGTGCATGACCTATCTTGACTGATCTTCCCTTCGCCTCTTCCCTTCCAGACATGTGAGGAGGTGTCGGCCAGCGTGGCTCCGTACAGGGAGGAGAACGGGCGGCTCCTGACGCAGCTGAACGCCCTGCACATGGAGAACATTGGACTCAGGGAACATAACGAGAAGCATAGCAAAGGTAATGGAGGGTTGGGTGGTTTGGGAGGTTGGGAGGGGGTGGAGGGGGAGTGGGTGGTTGGGTGGTTTGGGGGGCGGGGGGCGTGAGGAGGGGAGGGGAAGGGGGGGGAAATATGGGGTGGGAGGGGTTGGGTGGTTATGGGGGTTGGGCGTAGGAGGGGGGAGGGGAAGGGGGGAAATATGGGGTAGGGTGGTTGGTGTGGGTTGGGCGTGAGGAGGGAGGAGGAGGAAGGGGGTTGTGGGTGTTGGGGTTAGGGGGATGGGCTGAGGAGGGGGGAGGGGAAAGGGTGGGGGGATATGGGGTACTTTGCGGGCGTGTGAGTGTGGAACGGATGAATGAGAGACGCCGTTTTATTTAAGGGTGGCGATCACTTTGATTAATGTGTAGTTATTTTATGGGCAGGGAGCAATATCAAATTCTCAGTCATTTTATATCGTCTTTAAGAAACTAATATGCAAAACAGTCAGTTAACTTAGACGTAATTATAATGACAGTGAAGATATACAGCGAAGGGTGAGTGGGTGATGAATGTGAGTGAGTGAGTGAGTGAGTGAGTGATGGGTGGTGGTGTTGAGTGGTGGGTGAGTGAGTATGAGTGAGCAAGTGAGTTAGTGGGTGAGTGAGTGAGTGGACTCGAGTGAGTGAGTGAGTGAGTGGATGGGTCGATGAATAGCCAGCATCCTAACACCGCCTCCACCAACAGAGCTCCAGAATGCCCTGCAGAAGCTAGAGAAGGAGAACCGTGACCTGCGGTTCCTGGCCGGGGAGTACCAGCGGCAGATCGAGGTCCTGGAGGCCGAGTCGAGGAGGAAGAGCGACAAGATCCTTCAGCTGCAGGAGAAGAACCTCCAAGCTGTCATCAGTACCCCAGGTCGGGAGGGCTCGGTCTCGTTTCTGTTTTTTCTTTCTTTCTTTCTTTTCTTTCTTTTCTTTTTTTCCTTTTTTTCTTTCTTTTTTCTTTCTCTTTCTTTTTATTTTCTTTCTCTCTTCTCTCTCTTTCTTTCTTTTTTTTTCTTTTCTTCTCTCTTTTTCTTCTTTCTTTCTTTTCTTTTTCTTTCTTTCTTTCTCTCTTTCTTTTTTTCTTTTCTCTTCTTTCTTTTTCTTTCTTTCTCTCTTTCTTCCTTATTCTTTCTCTTTTCTTTTTTTCTTTCTTCTTTCTTCTTTCCTTCTTTCTTTCTTCCTTTCTTTTCTTTTTTTTTCTTTCTCTTTCTTTCTTCCATTCTTTCTTTCTTTCTTTCTCTTCGTTTCTGTTATTCTATTTTTTTAATAGCTTTCGCGAAGGTTGTGTTTTTTTGGTGTTTGTTGTTTGTTTTTTTGTTTGTTTCAGATTGATAGCAAGATTAAGCCGAAAGTTACAGAGGGATTGTGATGAATTTTTTAATTGGGTTGTCCATGAGGCAGGGACCTATTAGGTAGACTTTGTTGGTGAGTATTAAATTTAAATTCAAATTCAAACACTTTATTCCATTAATTACATTGGGTATTCTATTTACATATAAGAGTATAGGAAATGGAGATATGGTGAAATGGGCGTGGTGTTTGTTTGTTTGTGTTCGTGGAAGTTATTGCGTGTGGATATGTGTGTTTGTATGTGTATAAGAAGAGGATGAAATGGGTAGTTTAAAGGAAATGTGGAAAGGAGGCAGAGAGAATGGCTAATTTAGGAAGGGTGGAGTGATGAAGTATAAGAAAGGGGAAGTGTGGTTATA